AAATGAATACATACAGCAGCTTCCTCCTGAAGCTCCCCAGACCCATGCCAACTCTGTGGCCCTTGTATAGCAAGGTGCTCTCTCCTCTGCAGTAAGGGAAGGCCACGCAGCCTCTCCACCTGGGCTTTGAACCCGTCTCCTCTGAAACTTCCTCTCCATTAAACCCACCTCCAGCTCACTGTCCACCTCTGCCCTTTCCTCTCCACTAGTTCCATTTGCTCAGCTGCCAAAAGTGCTCATACCGTGCAGGGCCAGGAGGACTCCTGCTCCTTCTGCTTTCTACTCAAGATGAGCCCCCTCCCCCCCCAACACACACACCACATGCCTTTATTGTCCGGGTCCCTTTCCTTCTGTGCTCCTCTCAACCCCTTGCAATCTGTTTCGTCCTCAACTGTCTTCTGCTTTCTCCTGAGATATGCTCTCAGAGGGACCCAATGACCTGCCAACTGCCACAGTCACTGGCAGTGTAGATGATGATCATCAAGTGGATGGATTTCAGGACACTTTCTATACTGTGCTTGTCCGCATGCTCCAAATTTTCTACAGTGAGCAAACAGAATCAGAAGAAAAGCTAATAGTTTGTTTTAACCCACAACCACGTGTCTAAGGGTGGTGCCAGGCACACACATTAGAATAACCCATCACTGGCAGGATCCTGATCACTCAGTACAGACATAACCTCATCATAATCAACTCACTCCTCCCTCGAGGATGACACGCCACTCCCCTCCCCAATGCAAACCTGACTTCCTCAACACGGGATGAGGACTGGCTGCCTCTCCTCCTACGTGCTTACCTTTTCTGTGGTTTCATAGTCCATTTTAAATGCCCAGAGGTGGAGCCTCGCCGAGAGCTCGCTGATGGAGGAGAGCGTGAGGAGGAACTGCTCCGCACTGCCCAGCGGGGCCTCAGGGTTTGCCAGCTGGGCCTCCTGGATTTTCTGCTTCTCCTCTTCCGTGGGGATCATGGTTAGAATTTTCTGGAAAAGACAGGATGATACAGTATACGTTCTCGCTTAGTGATGGAACCTATCTCACCCCTGCGATGTTGCGAAATTCGTATTATAACTTTCCAACCAGGTAGGAGAGATGTTCTGTTGTCAGTGTTCTGTGTCATACAGGTGTTACGTTGTCATAAATCAAATGTACATTAGGGAAAAGCCCCACTGGCATCAATTTGACATTCCTTTGTTCTAAACGTCCCTCCTTCCCTCTCTCTCCTTTAACCTGTTTCATAAGCAACTTGTCCCAAATGTTCTGGGTCTTGTACATGAAGGACATTCTGAAATCCATCCACTTGATAAAGGTGAGGGAAAGGTGAAAGAATAAGATAGAAGATTAGAGAACTACTTCCTGTCCCCTAGGAAACAGAGTAAAACATCTCAAGAATGTATGTTTTCTAGACCTTCTCATTGATTCATTTTAAAATTTATAAAAATGAGTGACTTTCATAACTCAGATTGACTTATCCAGAGGACATATAATTTTAAGTGTTTTAAACACTTAAACCATATTTTTAAATTTATATAGAAATGAAAACACTTTAAATGATATCAAACTCAATTGAACAGGTAGTGAGTTGACCATTTTCCCTCTGGCATTCCCCAGCCTGGGTGTAAGGGAGTGGGAATCCTGGGAGAGGCCATCAGGTGCAAAGCGCTCCAGCAAACCCTCTCGTCCTGACTGGGGGAGTGGGAAAGGGGTCTCCTAGCAGAGGCAGCAGGGGCTGGAAGAACCTAAAACACTGGAGGGAGAGAACCTTCCTCTCCAATCAGTGATGCTGTGGTCCAAATCCCTGCTGCTTTTCTTCTCTCTGTCTTCCCTCAGCTTAGCCCTAAACATGAGCACAGTCACAGAAGGTGGGTGGCAAAGTGAGATAACTGAAGCCCCAGCTTTTAGCTGGAAGACCAAGACAGAAGGCCCAGGGCCCTGGAAAGTACTGGAGAGGTCATGGAAAATGAAGAGCCTGGCAAAGCAAATGATAATGTTGTTTAAGAACTTCTGAGTTCATCCCTGAGCTGCTCATATGTGAGGCTGACCTTAACCAGCACATCAAAGACTTGGAGACCTGGACTAGCCTTTGAAAACTTCAAAAATGGATCCAAAGCTGGAACCACAGTCTGCAACATGCAGGTCTGAATCCTGGCCTGAACCCAAGCAAGGGAGGGCTAGTTTTCAGTTCTCTGTATGAAATAAGAATTACTCTGATATAAAAACTACACAAAGATAATGCAAGAAAAGAAAGCTAGAGACCAATGTCCCCGATGAAATTAGATGCATAAATCCTTAACAAAATAGTTTAAAATATATAAATGAATGCAGTATGTTAAGATATATAAACACATGACTATATTTTACATAGCAACATAACAAAAATAATAATCACAAGGTTGGTTCAATATGCAGTAATCAATACATTTAATCTACCAAATTAATAATCTGAACAAGAAAATTCACAAATCATGTTATTTGATACAAAAATTTAAAAAAATAAAATTCAATATCTATTCATGACAAAAAACAAATAAACTCCCAGCCACCCAACAGGAGAGATTTCCCATACCTGATAAATGACATTTTATAAAAGACCTACAGCTCACATCATGCTTAGTGGAGATAGGCTGAATGCTTTCTTTCTAATATTGGGAACAAGATAGAAAGTATTTTAAAAAGAGCCACATGGATTGGAAAGGAGAAATGTAAACTGTCCCTATTGCACAAGGTAGAATTGTCTGCATAGAAAATTGTGAGGAATCTAAAAAATTTATTAAACAGTGAGTTTAAAAATGCTGTGTGACATTAGGTCAACATACAGGAAAATCTATTTTATTTCTATATATTAAAAATGTACAATTATAAACTGAAATTTAAGAAAAATGCTATTTACAATGAAATACTTAGGTGTAAATCTAACAAACCCACCTGTAGGGTCTGTATGCTGGAAAGTAGCAAGTATTGATAAAAATGATTTAAAAAGTCCTAAATAATTAGGGGACATACTATGTTCATGGACTAAAAGACAACAGGGTCACATATTAATTTTTTCCAAAGTTGGTCTATAAGTTTAACTCAATTCCAATGAAAATACCAGTATAGTATTTTTTGTGGATACAGACAAGCTGATTATAAGTGTTTATGGCAAAGCAGATGAACCAAACCATAACAATTTTGAAAATGAACAACCTTGAGGGAGTCCCACCACCCGATTTTAAAATGTACTAGAGAGCAACAGTAATAAGCCAGTGTGGTCTGGGCTACAGGACAGACATGGATCAATGGGACAAAACAGGGAGTCCAGAAATAGACCACAGCAATATGGCCATTGATTCTGACAAAGATGCAAAAGCAGTTCAATGGAGAAAAGATGGTATTTCCAACAAATGGTTTTAGAACAATTGGAATTCTTATGCAAAAAAAGAACCTCAACTTAAACCTTACAGCTTACACATGGATTAACTCAAAAGAATTAACAGATCTAAAGTAAAAGCAAATACTGCAAAACGTTTAGAAAGAAAGAGGAGAAAACCTCTGTGACTCATGTTAGGCAATGAACTCTTTAGACATGATACCAAAAAAGATCAGGTTGATAAACTGAACTTCCTCCAGGTTAAAGACTTTTTCTTGGAGAAAAACACTGTGAAGAGATTGGAAAGACAAGTTGTGTTCCCTCAAAAGGTTAAACGCAGAATTACCACATGAATCAGCAATTCCATTTGTAGGTTTTCACCCATGAAAACTTATGTTCATACAATAACTTGTACATAAATACTTGTAACACCTTTATCCATAATTCCAAAAACTGGACCAAACAACATATTCTTCAACAGGTGAATAAAGTGAACTCAGCAATAAAAAGGGACAAACTACAGGGACATCCCACAACTAGGAAGACTCTCAAAGACACGCTGAGTGGAAGAAGCCAATTATGATTCCATTTATGTGAAATCCTCCAAAAGACAAAACCACAGTGATGAAACTACTAGACCCAGGTCTAGTTACCAGGGGCCAGAGGCGAGCTCAGGGTGCGACTAGAAAGGGACAGCACAAGAGCACATTTTTGAGGGGAGATGGGACTGTTTTGAATCCTAACTGCAGTAATTGCATGAATTTATGCATTTTTATTTAAAAACCCTTAGAGCTGTATAGCAAAAAGTTTCATTTTACTCTATATGAATGCAAACAATTTAAAAATAAAGAACAAAATTGCAATCCTGGACCCCTGACATCATGATTGGCAAACACACAGGTGTTTCCAGGATTATGCCTCAGGACGTGTGTGGCGGGGCAGAAGCCATCTGGGTTTGATGAGCGTGTGATCAGGGAGGGCTGTCTCGGTCCTTCATCAGGAGCCAGTGATGCCCAACTGCATGGGAGGCATGTGTTCTGTGTTGCAGTCCGAGTGAGGTCATGCCCTCAGCCCTGGCAGGTTTAATTCAGTGGTTAAAGTGTGGGCCCTGAAGTAAGGGGTTGCGGGTTCAATTCCCTGTCAAGGGTAAATACCTGGATTGCAGGTTCAACCCCTGGCCCTGGTCAGGGCGAGAACGGGAGGCAACCAATTGACATGTCTCTCTAATGTCGATGTCTCTCTCCTCCCCCCCCCCCCCCCCGCTTCTTCTCTTCCTCTTCCTCTCTCCCTCTCCCTCTCCTCCTCCCTTCTACTCTCTCTAAAAATCAATGGAAAAAACATCCTTACTCCTCGGGCGAAGATTTAGAAAAAGAAGGTATGCCCTCAGATACCTCCTCTTCCAATATGCTCCTCATCATGGCCCCTAACCGAGATGATGCAGGTGGGATGTGACATCAGGGCGATATGCAGTGACAGTGCCCCTTGCTCTCCCACAAGCTCTGCTTGGACCCCACCTGTCCCCACAGATGGTATTAGACAATAGGCAAAGCAATCCAAGCCCAGGAGCTGAACTCAATCAGTTTTCAAAATAAAAACATAACTAAAATTTGTGTTTTAATTTTCTCTCTGCTCAAATTGTTTTCAGCATGGACAAGAATTCCGAAATAAAAAATTGTCAACACTCCCCCCGCCCCCTTCTTCAGAAGGCATTTTCCTGCCATGCTTTCAGTTGCCTTTTTCCTTTGGGAAAGTAATCAAACACTCTTACTTTTGTTTTTCACTTCTCCGACTAATTGAAACCATTTGTTCAGTGTTGAAGATTTATGAGGCTGCCAGCTGCCAGTTTGTTTTATTTTTTCACACATCACTGACAATACAAATAGCCCTAAGACAGTGGAATGGCAGGTCAGCGCCACCTCCTCTGAGGTGAGGGCTGTGTTTTTCCAGGAGCAGATGAAAGAAGATGAGCACGAGGGGGAACCCCTGATTGGCTCTTCTCCGGGCCAGCAGATCTACTGGGAATTTTATGATCGCCATTTGGTGCCACGGGGAGAAAAATGTCAAACAAGACCCCTACGCAATAATGCAGTGTCTTTTGTTTTTTATTTCAGACAGGGCTTCACTTGCTTGTGTACCTGAAAGCCAAATGTCAGAGAAAAACTGCACAAGTGTCACTTTTTATGGACCCAAATGGTTTAGGGGTTTGGCCATCTCATTCACATGCAGATGAGGCCGCAATGAGGAATTATTTTGCCTTGTGAGCTCTGAGCAGAACCCTGGCTACAGCTCTGGATGAGAACCTCACACAAGGATTTTGGTGACAACAGCAGAGAGCTGAAGAGCTGGGCCTGGTTTGTACACAACTTGTATATTCTCATGAAACAATGGCTTTCCATTTGGGTCTTTAATCTCATGGACACGGAGGGATCTTTTTTGGGGTCTTGATTGCCATTGTCTTTCATTGTTGGGACTATTTAGGGAAACACCTGGGGCAGAAATGATTGCAGATGAAGTGGCCTGAGCGAGGTTAGGTCAACCAGGGCAGAGCTGGAACCACCCAGGAGCCCAGTGCCAGCTCCACAGCTCACAGCAACTCAACCAAAATGCAAAGCTAACAGCACAGCCGAGGCCCAACCACCAGGACACCCTGGGTCCTAGCACTGCTGACCAAGTCTGGCACCTGACTTAGTCTCACTGTGTGCATCCAGCAACCCACTCAGGCACCTGCAGATGGGGTAGCACAGCACAAAGTGCTTGGAAAGGGACTATAGGTTTGTACCTGTGGCCAAAGGGAATTTCTGTCTCTCAGATACTGAATGGCCAGGCAGCCAACTGGGCCAAGTTAAATGTCACTTGGACCATTCAATTGTGCTACCCTCTATAAAAATCAGAAAAGCAAGAAAAAAAGGGGAAAACTCTTTATATTTCCATTTGTGATACCAAGCAATGTTCTAAAGTTTAATCCTCTAATGAAAAACTACTTCCATAATGAAGCTAGTCAACTGCTCCCTCAGGTTTACACAGCAAACCGGACACATACCATTGGGTTGCTAAGCAAAGCCACAGGACGTCATTTAATACATCCTAATCACATTTAGGCACACAGAGGTTTCAAATGGCCCTATTAAGTCGTGCTGCCATGCTCCGGTGCCTGTGTCCCAGAAGCAGACAGTCTGGCACAAGACCCTTGGCACGCAAGCTAGAAATCTCATTAGTAAAGATCTGTAAGGACACGGCTTCCAACTCTTCTCAGCCATGACTTAGTTCTTGAACAACAAGCCTAGAGAAAAAACTCTGGGGAAGTGGCTCAGCACACGGATATAGACCACACTATGGCCCTTGGGTCCCTGAGATCAGTGGTCAGAGGCAGCAGGTCATGGGTTCCAAGTTCTCCAAGAGAACTAGTATTTGCCGGACAAGCATTCAAAAAATATATGTAATATAGTTTCTGGATTCACACAGGTAGCCTTAAATCAGGGGTTCTCAGTCAGGGTGATTTTGTGCCCAGGAAACATTTGACAAAGTCTGGAGACATTTTTGGTTGTCAGCACAGGGCAGATCCCACAATAAAGAACTGCCCAGCCCAGGCCTGGGAACAATGTGGTTGGTTGGGTGTTGTCCCATGCATCGAAGGGAATGCCGGTTCGATTCCTGTACCAGGCACAGACCCAGGTTTCAGGCTCCATCCCCAGTCCTGAGTGTGCAAGAGGCAGCTGATGTTTCATTTTCACATCAATATTTCTCTTTCTCTTTCTCTTTCTCTCTCTCTTTCTCTTTCTCTCTCTCTCTTCCTCCTGTCCTCCCTTCCTCTCTCTCTAGAAATCAGTAAAAAAAAAAAAAATCTTAAAAAAAAACTGCCCAGCCAAGAATGTCAATAGTGCCACGTAGAGAAGCCCTGCCTTAGACAAGAACTGTGATAAAAAAGTGTAACTCTGTGTTGTTGTGACTAACCATGGATTTACTGAGGATTCATGGCCCAATAAACTCTCAGAAGGGCTGAGTAGTGTTTTCTACAACTGTGTCTCCGTGCTTCATATCATTCCTTTCATCAGCTACTCCCAGTGGAAAACCGCAGGCAGCACTGTGAAGTGGATTGCTCGGCCTCATGAGTCTTCTCACCCCCCTTTCAGATTCCCTTTCATTCTTTTTGGCATCCGTGGGCCCCCTCCTGGCCAGCCATCCCCAAGGTCCGTGCTCTGCCCTGAGTCTCAGATTCTAGAGCTCATATTGCAGCTTAACCTCTCACTGGCTTGTGAACTTGGGCACAGACTAAAACTGAGAGTCCCTCTCTTCATCTTTAAGATGCGAAACGTAATAGTATGGCCTTCTGATGTGAAGCTCCTCGCTGGTGCCTGGCCCACGGGAAGAAACTGATGAGAGTTATTTTTGTGCTGGGTTGCCATTCCTATATCCATCATCTCTACCCTTGCTCTCATTACTCCTTCCGGGATCAAAAAGGTGCTCAGCTGGAAAGCAGTTAGAAAAGGAAAAAGTAATCTGATTCATTCTGAACCCTAAGTAACTTATTGTATCTGAAGCTTTCCCCAACCAGGGAGAGTGACATTTCAGGAAAGAATAAAGGCAGAGCCCAAAGAAATCCATCTCTTCTAATCTTCAAGTTCTCAGCACAAGAACGGGAAATATTGCTAAAGGGGGAAGTTTCATTTTTTCCCTTTAATCAGGCTGGCTCTGGCTGCATTTGAAGCCTCTCTTTGAATGAGTCTGAAGCTTTTACAACCTCTAGTGACAGTTACGTAAATGGGATGGTCCGAAAGTGCGCCAGGGCCCGCCTACCATGCTCTTTGTCCTAGATCAGCATTTCTCAACCTTCTGGCTCTTTAAGTACAGTTCCTCATGTTGTGACACAACCATAAAATTATTTTCGTTGCTACTTCATAACTGTAATGTTGTTACTGTTATGAATCATAATTTAAATATCTGATATGCAGGATGGTTTTAGGCGACCCCTGTGAAAGGGTTGTTCGACCGCCAAAGGGTCACGACCCACAGGTTGAGAACCGCTGTCCTAGATCAGTGATGGCGAACCTTTTGAGCTCGGCGTGTCAGCATTTTGAAAAGCCCTAACTTAACTCTGGTGTCACATATAGAAATTTTTTGATATTTGCAACCATAGTAAAACAAAGACTTATATTTTTGATGTTTATTTTATATATTTAAATGCCATTTAACAAAGAAAAATCAACCAAAAAAATGAGTTTGCATGTCACCTCTGACACATGTCGTAAGTTCGCCATCACTATCCTAGATGAACACTCGGTTTGTCCAGGTGGGCAGCCCCCACCTGCCCAATGGCAAGCCAATGCCCTTCCCCTCGCTTGCTCCTCTGGGGGTCCCAGAGTGGGGCTGCCTCACACTGAGGCCTGCCTCCTCCTTCTTGTTTGGGAGTATCTCAATGTCCCTTTCTGTATGTACCTGCTGTCACCTGCATTCTCCTTTATGCCTCCTGCCCCAGTCAGCCATGTGCCCTCACTCCCTGGCTGCCCACCTGGATATGTTGACCTGCTTTGCTGCCTGGCCTGACTCTAAGCTTAGGGCTCAACTTCCTCTCCAGCCATAAGGAAATGTATTTCCCTCCTTGTACCTGCTCCTTGGGACAGGGTGTGTGTGTGTTTCTAAGAGTAGAGCTGCTTAAGCTTATATTCGTTTCCTAGGGTGGCTGTAACCACAAAGTGGATTTAAGAGACTAGAAGTCTGCTATCAAGGACTGCGTAGGGCTATGTTCTCTCTAAAGGCCCCAGGAAAGGATCTGTATTGCCTCTCCCTAGTGTCCGGTGGTTGCAGGCAATCCTCGGTTCTCCTTGACCTGTAAACACATCACTCCAGTCTCCGCCTCTGTCACCTCATGGCACTCTGTTCCGTGGTCTCCCTGTGTGCTTTCTGTCTGCACAAGACATCCTCTGCTCTACATCTACGTCGAAACATCCCTCTTCTTATAAGGATCTCAGTCCCTGGAGCAGGGCCCACACCAATCCAGCACAACTTTATCTTAACTGGATCACATCTGCAAGGACTGTTTCCAAATAAGGTCATATTCTGAGGTTCTGGGTGGACATGGATTTCGAAGGGACACTGCTCAATCCAGCTTAAACTTCTAGGGACACAGTGTCTCCTGTGGAGGTCTCTTCTTTTCAGAGCACAAAGGCACACATGCCCCACTGCTCCCACAAAGCCACACACCCCACTGTGCCCTCCCACACTCAGGGCTGGGTCAAGTCTGGCACCGTGGCCTGAGCCACTCCTTGCATCCAACTCCTTTGTCAAGGGCTTGCTTTCCTCACTGGAGTCTGTCCTCATTTGTTCCCTCTACTCTCAAGTCTTTCACATAAGACTGTACATGAATGAACCCCAAATATTTAGTATAGAATACTAAAGGAACCCAGGGCTTCTTGCTGATAGGAGATGGAGTGGCTATCACCCAATGCTGTGAAGCAGTGTCCTCCTGTCCCCACTCTGACCCAATGGGCCCCATCCTGTATCGCCATCTGTTTTTGTTAATCCTCACCTGAGAATATTTTTTCCATTGATTTTTTTTTTTAAGAGAGAGACACATTGATTGGTTGTCTCCCGCACATGCCTGATTGGGGCTGAGGATCGAGCCTGCACTGAGGTTTGTGCCCTTGACCGGGAATCGAACCTGCAACCCTTTGGTGGGTGGGCCATCATTCTAACTACTGCACCATGCTGGCTAGGCTCTATCACCCGTCTTTAGGAGTCTGAGGGCTGAGTCATTGGCTCTGTCGCCATGATTAGAATAGGAGTTTATCTTGCTTCAGACTAGCACTCACCCACAGTGAAGGAAGAACAAGTATTGGCGGGAGAGCACCGAGCCCTTCCTGGCAGAGCAGGTGAGCTGTGGCTCCAGCGAGGCCACCTACCAGTCGTGTAGTCACAGCCAAGTCACCCAACCTCTCTGCACTGTGCCATTCAGATCAGCACATGCCAAAGCCTCAGCTGGCTTGGCGTCTCCAGTTTCTCAAATGAAACATCTCTCTCCACTCCCTATCAAGTGCAAAGAGAGAAACAAAGTCATTTACATGAGTATGAGCACACCCTACTTCTGAAACTGCTCCTTAAACATATTTGGTTTGAAATGATGTGAAAGAAGATCCTAACAGCCTCCGAAGGAGGTTATCACATTCTTCCTCCAGGACGAGGTACGTGGAGTATGGTCAGAAGGAAGTCAGTAAGTGAATCATGAACTTCATAGGTAATGAGGGACTTTCCCCTCCCCAAGAAGTTAAAAAGATGAGAATTATGAACATTATTCAGAGTCTGGCTGAGACAAAAAAAAAATGGCAAGCCACCTTAGAAAGTCACACTGGACACAGTAATGCTTTGCATATATGTGACACATTGCAGAACGCAAATAATGCTTGGCAGAGCAGCCCTCACCTCAATTCCTTCTTTATTTAAGGCATATTCATCAAAATTCAAGATGGCGATCTTGATCGTTCTTGGAGGGGGCAGCACCGTCAGCCCGATGTTAATGGCATTGCTCCTCTTCGAGTCCAGTACGATGATCTCCTGCCTTTTTCCGTCTGCGGCAGTTTTCTGGGTAATAGAACAAGGAGAATCCAAGATTAATGCCTCATCTTTGATCCTTTCTGTGTTTTATTATTAAGAGCAAACTCACTATTTATTCAGAGATGAAAACCAGTGGCCCCACTTAGGCGCAAAGGACTGGCTACCGCTCAGCACAGAAGAAAGCCATCAGGGCTCAGCTCTTGGCAGCTGCCAGGCGCAGGCCAGCAGTGGAACTTCGCAAGTCAGACACATTACAAAACAAAATTGATTTTCCTTCAATTGGGAACAATGTGATATTTTGCAAGAAAGACACACACACACACTCCTGTTTTTTTCCATCGAAGCAGTGGAAACAAAACTAAATCCTCCCAGAGCTCTCTCCCTGTGATCTGCAAGGAATCGGAATGTGCTCTGGTTGGCCCTAGGGCACATGGTGTGTGCCTGGGGATGGAGACGGTGGTACACGTGCTGAGGAGACAGGAGTGACCTGGAGAACCCGCCATTGCTGGCTGGTCAGCCCCTCTGGATCCCTGGTCACATCGTCTCAGGGGCTCCTCTCCCCATTCAAATGTCCCATGCCCCTTATTCCAGAGTACCTGCCACACTTCCACATGTGAGCAGCTGCCACTAGTGGGTAAGGAGGAACCTTCTTAGGAAGGAGACCAAAGGACAGGTGCTGGTGAAAAGGAATGGGGGAGAAATAGACCTGGAGGCCAAGGAGGGGAACAGAGGACAGAGGTGTCTAAGTGTCCTCATAGAGACCTCGTGTGTGGCTTCCCTGATGGGCTGAGTGCCTTGGGAGCAGGCCCTGGGTGTGTGGTGCCCAGAGACAAGGTGACAAGGCCTCCAGCTTCCCCCGGAGCTCCTGGGAAGTTCAGGGTAGTGGACATGGGGACAAGTGGACAAGGTCTGGTCAGCAAGCCCCATGACTGTGCAAACAGAGCTGGGAGAATGACTATTCTTATTCAGGTAACAAGCCTAGATGACAATCATGAGTTAGGCAGAGCGGACCTCTTGAAGGAAAAGATGGGGTGTTTACAATGTGAGGGCTCAGCAGTGGGGTAATTAACTCATCTAATGTTGAGGGGGGCAGGGTTTGGAGGAGCTGACATTTCGGCTGGGTCCTAAAGAATGTGTAGGATCTAGTTTGGAGCTGGGGAGAGAAGATAAGGAGATAAGAAGTGGCTTTGTCTAGTTTGCTGGGGACTGCCAGAGAAGAAGCTGGAGGTTTGGGGGGCCACAACTGGTGGCCCTCAGGAGCCAGCCGTTCCGACTCCATTGCAGACGGGCCCCAGCTGAATGGCTGGCTGCTGCTCACCATGGGTGTGGCTGGGCTGGGAGCAGCAGAACTGTGGGGAGAAGCTGGCCGTTGCAACATGAGAGGCTGGAAGCTGACTTGGAGAAAAGGACTGTGGCCCCTTACGTCCTACTGAGCCCTTCCAAAATCAATTACTAAAATTCTATTTTAGATCCTTAAATATGCATTTGGGAATAAATTAAAATTTCTTCCCGAGGAAAATAATTGAAAGCATCCCAGCTGCTCTGGGGCCTGGTGGCCAGGAGGAACAGTGCCTGTGGGTGTGGCATCTGCTCTGACCGCCGGCTTCCGGGATGCATGGCACATGGGCAAGCTTGTCTTCTATTTATTTAATCCAATGAGCCTCTCGGGAACCCTTGAAATTTAGCTTTTAAAATCTAATCACAAATAGTATTTTGTGGGTGAAATGCTAAGAAGGAATGGGAAAGGGGTTGGCAAATGCTCACTACAGGCAATGAAGAGGGATGAGAGGGATGTTAAGATTCAAAATTCCACCCCAGCCAGTTTGGCTCACTGGATAAAGCGTTGGCCTGTGGACTGAAGGGTCCCAGGTTTGATTCTGGCTAAGGGCACATGCCTGGGTTGCGGGTTTGATCCCCAGCAGGGGGGCATGCTGGAGGCAGCTGATCAATGATTCTCTCTCATCATTGATGTGTCTATCTCTCTATCCCTCTCCCTTCCTCTCTAAAATTAATAAAAATATATTTTTAAAAAAAGATTTGAAATTCCCACTCACCCAGCACCCACTCCTTCTTTCCTGCTCACAGTAGGACCTTGACTTCTGTTGGGCTGGCAATGTGTCAGTGACATCAGTCCCATCCCTGGACCCTTGCAGCCAAAGCTGGACCTGTGACCTAGGTCTGGCTTTTGTTTTTCTGATTAAAAAGGGATAGACCCAGAGGGCCATGCCAATTGCCCTTCCCCTTTTTTCCTGCCGAGAGTGTGGACATGAGGCTACATAAGGATGGCAGCATGGAAGGAGCCTGGGTCTGGCATTGGAGGGGCACTTTCCCTGAACCAGGCTCCAGTGCAGGAGGCACTGATCAGAGGGCAGGGATTCCCTGGGAATCATGAGCCCTTAGCCCCGCACCTACAGTCCCCTCATTCCAGGAACCCAGAGAGATGCCTGTATAGGCCCAGCCCAACCAGAGCCTTTGTGCAAATGAGAAAAAGACCACCTCCCCACAACTGGGGAGACACATTCCCATGGCAAACAGCTTGAGAAGAAAGCATCGCTCAGATTTCCGCCCTGCCCCTTCAGCCAGTGTCTACGTGCCAAACAACGTGCACAGACCTACATGGTGGCCCTGAGCCTGACATATCCTTGTCCCCATCTCAATAGAATTCAATGGACACCAGTGGGCACACCCACACACTCCCCTGTAAGTTGGGGAGATGCCTCCGGCATCCTGAGACACTGGGAAAGCTGTCCCCACAGATGACTCTCCATATTTTCAGAGCTACTTTCACACACTTTGTGAAGGAATAAGAATTAAAGTAATATCTGAAATTGAATTATTCAATCTCTGGAGTTTATGCAAGAAATGTTTTAAATGCTGTGCTTCATAATGAAAACAGATTCCACTGGAAGCTACTTGAGCACACTAGTGCCTTGGGGTTTGTCTTGCCAGCCATAAGGTGGTAGCTCATGTAGGGCTGTCCTTTCTTCCCACAGTAACCTAGAGAAGCACCTGCAGGAGCTAGCCAAAGTTCCCCGTGCCCAAGAGCCTGTGCCCATGTCTAAGGATTAGCAGTCATCAATTCTGATCCATTTCAATCATCTTTTTGGGTTCAAAGTCCTCAATCAGCAAGTATGACTGTCACTATATCCTTCACATGGTCCTGTGACACAGCACATCCATCCTCGTCCACAAAGCCTCTCATGTCCCCCTGTCCTTCGTTCCCACCACCTCCGCCCTGAGCCCCGCCCCTGGTGCCAGCCTCCACCCCTGGCCTTCAGCTCCCAGTCTCTCCTCTTCCCCAGCCCACCCATCACTCGCTTGCTCACAGCCTTTCTCAGTCACCCATTTCCTTATTGCACTTCTTTGATCAGAAAGTCAGTGACTGCCCATTGTTTGAAATTAGAAAAATAGGAAATTGGTCAATGATGGAAAGAGGATATAAAGCAGAAGCCAAAGAAGAAAGAGTGGTCCTTGTGAAGGAGATTAGGCGTTAAATGCCCTCCTGAAGGCATCTAGAACAAAGGGGTAAGATGTGACAGGACAAAGGTGGCACAGGACTTGGGAAGATGACAGGAGGCATAACTTCTAGGCAGGAAATCAGAAAATTGTCCTGTATTTGATAGGAGATTAGACACATCCCAAAAAGCAACTCCGAAACAAGAAAGCAACAGACCAAAACCTCTTGACATATCGACACAGGGCCTACATGAAGGAAATGACAACACCATCTTGAAAGTAATAAAAGATGATGTGAATAAAGGAGAAACAGCATATTCCTGGAAAGGAAGTCTCAATGTTAAAAGGAGGCTCATTTTCTCTCATCTAAAACATACATTTAAAGTATTTCTAACAAGAATCCAACTAGTTTTTTTAGAATTAAAAAATATTCTAAAGTCACTATGAAAGGCTATATGTATAAAAAAAATCAGTAGAGTTATATATAATATTTACCCAATCAGCTATAAAAACATTATAAAACCAATATAACTAAAATGTGTAGCACTAGAATAGCTAGAATGATAAAACAGAAAAAGTGATTGTACAGAAAAAGCTCTCAGACAACGTTCCAGGGCATTCCAACACAAACCAAGATTAGTGAGTGACTTTCATTTGAACGCCCGATCTCTAACATGGAACCAAGAAAGTAACCTGAAGTCAGAAAAACCACTATGGCAGGTTAGCATCCTGTCAGACTGACTGACATTTTCCTTCATAGGAAGAGAGAAGGCAAGAGCAGTCTCGGGTAAGTATGGTGGGAGCACGTCACGCCCCAGGGACCCCCATGGTGGACTGGAGTCTCAAGTCATGATCAGTGATGGTGCAGGACAGCAAACCCTGAGCAGGGGCGGGAGGAGAGGCCGAGTCCTCCAACAGCTTCTTTCTGATTGGCCGAGTGTCTTCCCATATTTATTGATTCGGAGCCTCTCTTTGATATAGATCCCATTTCCTTAAACAGGTATTGCTCAAGTGCCAGTGAGGTGCCTACTCCTTGAGTGGGGCCATTTCCATGAGAATAATCTAATAAAGAAATGCATACCCGGGAGGGCCAGGAGGCCCATGACACCATTGCTCAATCCTGTTCTGAGGCTGACAGGCTGGCCTCCGGGACTAATGGGGAGGGGAGCTCTGGAGACAGGCCAGGGGATTCTCCTTTGCCAGGAGCAGTGGCTCCTCTGTGACTGACAGCAGAATGGCAAACATGAAGTCCCCACCACTAACTGGGAGAAACACAACATCGTTTACCTGAGGAGGAAACGGGTCTGATCAATCTGCCGACACTCTCTGAAGGAAAACCAGGAATGTAGTTTATTCACAGCGGCGCTTTACAACTTGGGGTGCACAAGAGAATCCCTAGGGGTACCTTTAAACCACAGTGATACTTGAGTCCCCGCAGAGATCCGATATCCCCTGTCTAGAGTGGGGCGCAGGGGTCACAGGTGTTTAAAAGATCTCTCCCACAAGAGGACTCTCTGATTTAGACTTTCAGAAGTCTAAAGGCTTTCAGACAGGATTTTTGGGTGAGTAGA